CAGCTTTTCCGTCCAGCGTCCTTAGAACCTCCTGGTAGCGGGCCATCGGCACGACGTGGAACTGCTGCTAGAGGAGTGCAAGTCTGGCCGCCGCAGGGGGCCCACTGGGCGGGGCGGGGCTCGACGATGCTGGTTTTATAGAATGAGTTAGGAAGAGGCCCCAGCCAGGCGCGGTGGCTCAAACCTGTAATCACAGCACTTTGGGGGGCAGAGGCAGATGGATCACGAGGTCAGGAGATTGAGACCATCCTGGCTAACATAATGAAACCCGTCTCTACTAAAAATATGAAAAATTAGTCGGGCGTGGTGGCACATGCCTAAAGTCCCAGCTACTCAGGAGGCTGAGGCAGGAGAATTGCTTGAATCCAGGAGGCGGAGGCCACAGTGAGCCAAGATCGCACCACTGCACTCCAGTCTGGGCAAAAGAGCGAGACTCCTTTCTTAAAAAGAAGAAGAAGAAGAGTCCCCTCCTTTTCTATCATTTGCAATCGTTTCAGAAGAAACGGTTTCTTTTTGTTTCTCTTTGTACCTCTGGTAGAATTCAGCTATAAATTCATCTGGTCCTGGCCTTTTTTGGTTGGTAAGCTATTTACTGCCTCAGTTTCAGAACTTGTTATTGGTCTTTTCAGGGATTCAACTTCTTTCTGGTTCAGTCTTGAAAGGATGGGTCCAGGAATTTATTAATTTCTTCTAGATTTTTCAATTTATGTACATACAGGTGTTTACAGTATTTTCTGAAGGTTCTTTTTACTTTATGGGGTCAGTGATCATATCCCCTTTACCATTTTTTATTATCTATTTCATTCTCTGTTTCTATATTACTGTAGCTAGCAGTCTATTAATTTTGTCAAAAAAAAAAACAACAAAAACAACCAGTTCCAGCCGGGCGTGGTGGCTCATGGCTATAATCCCAGCACTGTTGGAGGCCGAGGCGAGCCGATCACGAGGTCAAGAGATAGAGACCATCCTGGCCAACATGGTGAAATTCCGTCTCTACTAAAAATACAAAAATTAGCTGGGTGTAGTGGTGTTCGCCTGTAGTCCCAGCTACTCGGGAGGCTGAGGCAGGAGAATTGCTTGAACCTGGGAGGTAGAGATTCCAGTGAGTCGAGATCGTGTCACTGAACTCCAGCCTGGCGACAGAGCGAGACTCTGTTTAAAAAAAAAAAAAAAAAAAAAAAGCCGGGCGCGGTGGCTCAAGCCTGTAATCCCAGCACTTTGGGAGGCCGAGGCGGGTGGATCACAAGGTCGAGAGATCGAGACCATCCTGGTCAACATGGTGAAACCCCGTCTCTACTAAAAATACAAAAAATTAGCTGGGTACGGTGGCGCGTGCCTGTAATCCCAGCTACTCAGAAGGCTGAGGCAGGAGAATTGCCTGAACCCAGGAGGCGGAGGTTGCGGTGAGCCGAGATCGCGCCATTGCGCTCCAGCCTGGGTAACAAGAGCGAAACTCCGTCTCAGAAAAAAAAAAAAAAGTTCCCGTTTTTGAAGAGTTTTTTTGTCTCTGTCTTTCACTTCCACTCGAATCTGGTTACTTCTTGTCTTCTGCTAGAAGGTTTCTTTGCTCTTGGTCTTCTCATTCTTTTAGTTATGACGTTAGTGTCCATTTCAGATCTTTCTAGGTTTCTGATGTGGGTGTTTAGTGCTATAAATTTCCCCCTTAACACTACCTTAGCTGTGTGCTAGAGATTCTGGTACAATGAATGTCTCTTCATTCTCATTGGTTTCAAATAATTTTTTTATTTCTGATTTTTTTTTAGATGGAGTTTTCCTCTATCTAAAACTATCTATTTAGTTTTAGATGGAGTGCAGTGGCATGATATTGGCTCACTGTAACCTCCACCTCCCAGTTTCAAGTGATTCTCCAGCCTCAAACTCCTGAGTAGTTGGAATTACAGGTGTCCACAACCACATCCAGCTAAGTTTTTTGTATTTTTAGTAGAGACAGTGTATCGCCATGATGGCCAGGCTGGTCTCAAACTCCTGACCTCAGATTATCTGCCTGCCTTAGCCTCCCAAAGTGTTGGATGGAGTGAGCCGCCATGCCCAGCGAAAGCATAAAGCACCCAGTATTCCCAGGTGGTCTCACATCCAAGTCTCAGCAAGGCCCAACCCTGCTTAGATACAGAGATCAGGTATGATCAGAAGGGTGTAGGCATAGATGCCCACTGCTGATTTTATTATTTAGCCAGAAGTCATTCAGGAGCCGGTTGCTCAATTTCTATGTAGTTGTGTGCTTTTGAATGAGTTTCTTACTTTTGAGGTGTTTTTTGTTTTGCTTTTTTGTAACAGAGTCTTGTTCTGTCACCCAGGCTGGAGTGCAGTGGCATGGTCTTAGCCCACTGCTACTTCTGCCTCCTGGCTTCAAGTGATCCTTGTGCCTCAGTCTCCTGAGCAGCTGCGACTACAGGTATGTGTCACCATGCTCAGGTAACTTTTTGTATTTTTGGTAGAGATGGGGTTTCACCATGTTGGCCAGGCTGATCCCAACCTCCTGACCTCAAGTGATCCACCCACCTCAGCCTCTTAAAGTGCTGGGATTACAGGTATGAGCCATCGTGCCTGGTGAGTCTTACTCTTGTGTTTTAATTTGATTTCACTGCAGTCTGAGAGACTGTTATGATTTCAGTTCTTTTGCATTTGCTGAGAAGTGTTTTACTTCCAATTATATGATCAATATGTATATTTAACTGCCATGTGCACCTTAGAAGAATGTGTATTGTGGTGTTTGTGGCTACAGAGTTTTGTAGATAGATATCTATCAGGTCCATTTGACCCACAGCTGAGTTCAAGTCTTGAATACTCTTCTTACTTTTCTGTCTCACGAATCTGTCTAATACTAACAGTGGGGTGTTAAAAGTCTCTCACTATTATTATGTGGGAGTGTAGGTCTCTACGAATGTGTTTTCTGAATCTGCGTGCTGCTTGAATTGATCTCTTTACCATTATGTATTGCATTTCTTTTTTCTTTTTTGATGTTTGTTGGCTTAAAGTTTGTCTTGTCAGAAACTATGATTGCAACCCCTGCTTTTTTATGCTTTTATTTGCCTTGTAAATTTTCCTCCATTCCTTTACTTTGAGCCTGGGTTTGTCTTTTCCTGTCAAATGGGTCTCTTGAATACAGCATACATATGGGTCGTAACTGTATCCAGCTTGCCCTTCTGTTTCAATTGAGGCATTCAGTCTATTCCATTTAAGGCTAATATTGTTATGTGTGGTTTTGATTCTGTCCAAATCGTGCTAGCTGCTTATTTTGAAGAGTTGTTGATGTAGTTGTTTTATAGTGTCATTGTTTTCGTACTTCAGTGTGTTTTTGCAATGACTGGTAATGGTTTTTTCTTCCCATATTTCGTGCTTCTTTGTAGAGCTCTAGCCAGGCAGGCCTGGTGGTGATGTATTCCTTCAGCATTTGCTTGTGTGAGAATAATTTTACTTTTCTTCACTTATGAAAACTTAGTATTGTTATTTTGTTTCATTTGCTTCTTGTATCTTTGTTCTTCATTCTCTTTTTCTGTCTTTGTGTCTTTTTTACACTTATCTTGATATGCTTTCACTTTTTTATTTTGTGTTGTGTATCTATGCAGACATATCCTTGGTGGTACCTTGGGGATTAAACAGAGCCTCTAAAAGATACAAAAATCTATTTCAATCTGGTGAAAATGAACTTCAGCTGCATCCAAAAATTTTTTTCTCATTATATCTGCCCTCAAATTTGTCATTGATGTTGCTAATTATATATATCATGTTGTATATTCATTAATAAATGTTTATAATGATTTATATGCTTTTACCTTTCAAATTTTAGAGAATAACTAAAAATGTTTTTACACCATTATTATAATGCTAAGAAATTCCATTTTTGTGTATGTCCATTGTCTTCCCAGAAAATAAGGTATTTTATACAATTATGTGTTGTTTTGTTGAATCATGTTATTTTCAGTAAAAGCAACTGCTTTCAGCTCTCTTTATATTTAGGGCATATGAATTGCAATATAACTTTTCAGAATTTGGTTATGTTTTAAGGTCTTTTAATAAAATTATTTGGCAGGATAGATATGCTGATGGTATTATTCTCACTTGATAGCTATTTTCTTCAGGATGTTAACTATATCGCACAGTTTCTTTGTGGCTGGCACAGTTTTTGTTGACAGTTCACACCTATCTCATAGGACTATGCTTGTAAGTGACACATCATTTTTATCTTGCAGCTCCATTCTCTTTTCTGTGACTTTTGAAATTGTTCATATATATATGTTTGTTATAAACATCTTTGTGTGTATCCTAGTTTGTTTGTTGAGCCTCTTTATTTTGACATTTTTTCTTTCAGAATTTTTTTTTTTTTGAGACAGAGTTTTCGCTCTTGTTACCCAGGCTAGAGTGCAATGGCTTGATCTCGGCTCACTGCAACCTCTGCCTCCTGGGTTTAGGCAATTCTCCTGCCTCAGCCTCCCGAGTAGCTGGGACTACAGGTGCGCACCACAATGTCCAGCTAATTTTTGTATTTATTGTAGAGACGTGGTTTCACCATGTTGATCAGGATGGTCTCCATCTCTTGACCTTGTGATCCACCCGCCTCGGCCTCCCAAAGTGCTGAGATTATAGACGTGAGCCACCGTGCCCAGCCTCAGAATTTTTTTTTTTTTTGACACAGAGTTTTGCTCTTGTTGCCCAGGCTGGAGTACAATGGCGTGATCTCGGCTCACCACAACCTCAGCCTCCCAGGTTGAAGTGATTCTCCTGCCTCAGCCTCCCTAGTAGCTGGGACTACAGGCATGCACCACTACACGCAGCTAAGTTTGTATTTTTAGTACAGACAGGGTTTCTCCATGTTGGTCCAGATGGTCTCAAATTCCTGACCTCAGGTGATATGCCTGCCTTGGCCTCCAAAAGTGCTGGGATTACAGGCCTTAGCTCCCTTTATTATGTAGGTTCAATTTGTAAAGTATGTTTATCTAAGCATAGTAAGTTTAACAATTTGTTGTTTTTATTTCTTTCAGCTATCTGTTCTTATTTTCCCAATTACCTTTGGCCAGAGCAAGACATAAAACATTCTTTTCAACAAGAGATACTGGGAAGATACAGAAAATGTGGACATGAAAATTTACAGTTAAGAAAAGGCTGTGAAAGTGTGGTGGATGAATGTAAGGTGCACAAAGAAGGTTATAATGAACTCAACCAGTGTTTCACAACTACCCAGAGCAAAGTATTTCAATGTGATCAATATGTGAAAGTCTTTCATAAATTTTTTAATTCAAATAGAGATAATATAAGACAGACTAGAAAGAAACCTTTCAACTGTCAAAAATGTGACAAATCATTTTGCATGCTTTTACACCTAAGTCAACATCAAAGAGTTCATACTGGGGAGAATTTGTACCAATGTGAAGAACATGGCAAAGCCTCCAAGTGGTTCTCAACCTTTACTAGAGACAAGAGAATTCATATTGAAGAGAAACCCTTCAAATGCAAAGAATGTGGCAAAGCTTTTAAATCTTCCGCAACCCTTATTACATATAAAATAATTCATACTGGAGACAAACCCTACAAATGTGAAGAATGTGGCAAATCCTTTATGTACCAGTCAAGGCTTACTAGTCATAAGAAAATACATACTGATGCAAAACCCCACAAATGTGAAGACTGTGGCAAGGCTTTTAAATATTTCTCAGTCCTTACTGAACATAAGAAAATTCATACTGGAGAGAAACCCTACAAATGTGTAGAATGTGGCAAAGCCTTTAATGAGCCTTCAAATCTAACTACACATAAGATGATTTATACTGGAGAAAAACCCTACAAATGTGAAAAATGTGGCAAAGTGTTTAACCAGTCCCCACTACTTACTGCGCATAGGATAATTCATACTGGAGAGAAACCTTACAAATGTGAAGAATGTGGCAAGGGCTTTAACTGGTCCTCAAACCTTACTAAACATAAGAGAATTCACACTGGAGAGAGACCTTACAAATGTGAAGACTGTGGCAAAGCTTTTAATCGGTCCTCAAACCTTATGAAACATAAGATAATTCATACTGGAGAGAAACCTTACAAATGTGGAGAATGTGGCAAAGCTTTTAATTGGTCCTCAATCCTTACCAAACATAAGAAAATTCACACTCAAGGGAAACCCTACAAATGTGAAGACTGTGGCAAAGCTTTTAATCGGTTCTCATTTCTTACTACACATAAGAGAATTCACACTGGAGGGAAACCCTACAAATGTGAAGAGTGTGGCAAAGGTTTTAATTGGTCTTCAAACCTTAGTAAACATAAGATAATTCATACTGGAGAGAAACCCTACAAATGTGAAGAATGTGGCAAAGCTTTTAATCGGTCCTCAACCCTTACTAAACATAAGATAATTCATACTGGAGAGAAACCTTACAAATGTAAAGAATGTGGTAAAGCCTTTAACCAATCCTCAACTCTTACTAAACATAGGAGAATTCATACTGGAAAGAAACCTTACAACTATGAAGAATGTGGCAATGCTTTTAATCCTTGAACCTTATTAAACAGATAATTCATACTGTAGAGAAACTCTACAAATGTGAAGAATGTGGCAAAGCTTTTAACCATTTCTCAAGTCTTACTAAGTATTAAATTGATACTGTACAGAAATCCTACAAGTGTGAAAAACATGGTAAAGCCTTTAATACGCCCTCAATTCTTTTTTTTTTTTTTTTAGATGGAGTTTTGCTTGTTACCCAGGCTGGAGTGCAATGGCGCAATCTCGGCTCACCACAACCTACTCCTCCTGGGTTGAGGCAATTCTCCTGCCTCAGCCTCCTGAGTAGCTGGGACTACAGGCGCTCACCACCATGCCCAGCTAATTTTTGTATTTTTAGTAGAGACGGGGTTTCACCATGTTGGCCAAGATGGTCTCGATCTCTTGACCTGGTGATCCACCTGCCTCAGCCACCCAAAGTGCTAGGATTACAGGCATGAGCCACTGCACCCAGCCAGCCCTCAGTTCTTAACAGACATAAAATAATTTATACTGGAGAGAAACTGTACAAACCAGAAATGTTTGACAATGCCTTTGACAACACCTCACACTTTTCTAACCATAAGAGAAATTATCATGGTGAGAAACCCTAGAAATTTGAAGAATGAGACAAGGCCTTTAAATGGTTGTCACACTTGATTTAGGTAAGATAATTTATACTATAAAAAAGGCCTACACGTTTGAACAATGTGGCAAAACTTGTAACCAGTGCTCACACCTTACTGTACAAGAAAGCCTTTATACTTGAGATAAATTATATAAAGACTGAAAAATCCATTTTCATATCTTACTCATGTCTTACTTGCTCACATCTCACACCACATGCTCACCTCTTAACACCAGAGAATTTGTACTTAATAAAAGCATTATAAGTGCAATTTCTGTCAAGATTTTTCAGAAAATACAAGCTTTCATAGTGAAGAGTATTTATTTTGAAGATGAACATTACAAATATAAAGAGAGTTATACCTCTTTACTGGTATCATAGATCTTATTATAGACATTTTGTTCTAGAGAAAAACTCTGAAGTAGTTGCTCAAACTTTGTTCTGCATCAGGGGATTTATAGTGAAGAAAAGATGTGCAGATGTAATAGATTTGGAAAAACACTTTTTCAAAACCTACATCTTAGAAAATAACAGTTTATACTACACGATATTTCTGCAGATGCAGTAAAAGTTAAAAAAATTAATACGTAATTAAGTCTATGCAAATATCAGAGTATTTATGGTAGAAATATATAAGGCACTGACACATCAGATATCCTAAATCAGAGTGCTGAGTATAGAAAATCTAAAACTAAAATTGGTAGAAAAATCCTTTGTATAAAACTTTAAGAGAATCAGAAGGTTTTTTTGCAGGTATTATTACATTCAAAGTATATTTCTTAAAAAATATTACAGATTTTTTGAGAAGCGAATAATAATGTAATTCAATCCTGAAATTATTCTGTTTCTTCATTTCTGTTGGACTCACACATGAAAGCATGGATCAATTGTTGCTGCATCAAAGATAGGAGACATTCTTTTTTTTGTTTTGTTTTGTTTCTTTAGAGAGAGAGTTTTGCTCATTCGCCCAGGCTGGAGTGCAGTGGCACAATCCCGGTTCACTGCATCCTCTGCCTCTGGGTTCAAGCGATTCTTTTGCCTCAGACTCTGAGTTGCTGGAATCACAGATGCGTACCATGACACCCAGCTATGTTTTGTATTTTTAGTAGAGATGGGGTTTCACTATGTTGGACAGACTGATCTTGAACTCCTGACCTCGTGATCCATCCACCTCAGCTTCCCAAAGTGCTGGAATTACAGGTGTGAGCCACTGCATCTGGCTTTTTTTTTTTTTTTTAAGACAGAGTTGCTGGAGTGCAGTGGCACAACTCAGCTCACTGCAACCTCCACCCCCTGGATTCAGGCAATTTTCCTGTCTCAGTCTCCCAATTAGCTGGGATTACAGGCACCTGCCACCACACCCAACCAATTTTTGTATTTTTAATAGAGATGTGGTTTTATCATGTTGGACAAGCTGGTCTCAAACTCCTGATCTTGTAATCCACCCACCTGGGCCTCTAGACAAGAAGTTCTTTTTTATTAGGTGGGCATTATTTATGATCTTTTCTATACAAAAGTAAAGACATTAAAACGTAAAATGCCTGATGAAAATCTCAGTGGAGAGGCTCTTAAAGGTTAACATAATATTGAGTGATGCATGAGAGATGTTCAGAGTAATACTGTGCATTGTCATATGAAGACAACATGTTTAAAATTAAATTAGTATATTAACTGTACTTTTATATATGAAATGCAGTACATTAAAAAATTTTAGATTAATAAAGTTAATACTTTAATTCAAAATTTTTACTTCTTGTGCATTTAATGAAGCGTTATTATGCCACAAACTTTAACTTCTTCCACCTTATCCAAGGGTATATGTAAAAGATCGTAACAATATACATAACGGATTAACGTAATTTTTTTTGCCAGTGGCTTTCAACTGCAAATAAGTTAAAGAATATTATTTCTGTAGGTTAAATTTTTTTTTTTTTTTTTCGTAAAATGGGGTTGCTGGGCGCGGTGGCTCACGCCTGTAATCCCAGCACTTTGGGAACCCGAGGCGGGTGGATCACGAGGTCAACAGATCGAGACCATCCTGGTCAACATGGTGAAACCCCGTCTCTACTAAAAATTCAAAAAATTAGCTGGGCATGGTGGTGCGTGCCTGTAATCCCAGCTACTCAGGAGGCTGAGGCAGGAGAATTGCCTGAACCCAGGAGGCGGAGGTTGCGGTGAGCCGAGATCGCACCATTGCACTCCAGACTGGGTAACAAGAGCGAAACTCCATCTCAAAAATAAAAAGATGCAGTTTCACCATGTTGGTCAGGCTGGTCTTGAACTCCCGACCTTAGGTGATTTGCCTGCCTTGGCCTCCAAAGTGCTTGGATTATAGGCATGAGCTATTATACCTGGCCAGGTTAAATTTTTATTCTGTTTTTAATCATTTAAATTTATTTTAATCTTGTTGGGTACATAATATGAATATACATTTGTGCAATATATGGCGTATTTTAATACAGGAGTAGAATATGTAATAGTCATATCAGCATTAAGTGAGGCATCCTTCAGTGCTAGCATTTATCCTTTGTTTTACAAACAATCCAATTTTACACATATAAAAAATTTTCACAGGTACAATTTTTATTTACTACAGGGTTATTTTTATGGTCATAATAAAAATTATAGACAAGTATAAATATAATTCATTTTTAGATTCTTAATAAATGATTTTTCAAATTTTATATATTTTTCTTTGAACGTGTGGCCTGTCTGCCTGCAAAAACATACAGACTTTTACTTTTGACTTACATAGAGTTAAATATATATTAGTGTAAAGACAAACCTTAGGTGTAAGAAAATTATAGAGTGTGTTTGTATGAGTTTGAAAAGAGCAAAATGGGAACAAAAATTACTTTAATTAAGGTGGCTACTATAAAACTAAAAAATCTAAAAAAATGCTGAAAGCAAATATATACTTTCTGCTTTGTATTGAATTTCTTCCTGCAAAATCCATGACTTACAGTTCTGCATCTTCCCATGCAAATTCTCTGTATTTACTTGCCAAGTATTTATGCTAGACCCCTACTTTTTATGTTTCTTGCATATTTTTTGTTTGTTTTATAGTTTATGAAGTATTCATTATTTGAGCTGGTCTGTGATTGTAAGAATTTTTATTTTTATTTTTATTTATTTATTTATTTTTGAGACAGAGTCTTGCTCTGTTGCCAGGCACCAGGCTGGAGCACAGTGGCGCGATCTCGGGTCACTGCAACCTCCGCTTCCCGGGTTCAAGCAATTCTCCTGCCTCAGCCTCTTGAGTAGCTGGGACTACAGGCGCGCACCACCATGCCCAGCTAATTTTTGTATTGTTTTAGTAGAGACGTTGTTTCACCATGTTTCCCAGGATGGTCTTGATCTCTTGACCTCATGATCCACCCACCTCAGCCTCGCAAAGTGCTGGGATTACAGGCGTGGGCCTGGCCAATAATTTTTATAAAATTTAGTACACTCAAAATAATTTTTAGATGTTAATTTCAAACTTAGTGTATTGTTACACTTTATTGAGTTGGTGCACTCCATTTTGTTCTTTTAATGGGAGAACAATATATAAGCTTTCTTTTCTTTAGTGATTGTTCCTTTCACTTTTTATAATTGACATAAGTATTTTTAACTATTGAGTCCATTTGATCAACTAAGTACTAGAGAGTCTTCATAAGTCACTTAAGGATTTTTTCTTTCTTTTTTTTTTAGACAGAATCCTGTTGCCCAGGCTGGAGTGCAACGGTGCAGTGGCATGACTGGCTGACTGCAACCTCCATCTCTCGGGTTCAAGTGATTCTCAGCCTCAGCCTCCCGAGTAGCTGGGATTAGAGGCATGCGTGATGACAGGTACGCGTCGTCATGCCCAGGTAATTTTTTTTTAGTAGAGATGGGGTTCACCATGTTGGCCAGGATGGTCTTGAACTCCTGGCCTCAGGTGATCCATCCGCCTCTGCCTCCTAAAGTTCTGAGATTATAGGCTTGAGTCACCGCACTCAGCAAGTCATCAGGATGTTTTTATATATAAAGGTAGCAAACATACCTTACAGGTTTTGCTCTGTAATAGATTCTCCATAATGATTCGCAAAGATTCCTGCTGCAGTTAGTTTGTAACTTCAACTCAGAGAAAGTAATTAATACTTTTACATAGTTAACATTTTTTGGTGAGATCACATTGTCTTGTTTTTCAAAAATCCAAATACATTATGAACTGTAGTCACCATGTTGTACAGTAAATCTCTTGAAATTATTTGTCCTATTCGACTGTAATTATGTATTATTTGACAGACATTTTTTCAACCCTCCATTCTAAATACCTTGACACGTGGTCCCAGCTACTTCAGGAGGCTGAGGCAGGAGAATTGCTTGAACCCAGGAGGTGGAGGTTGCAGTCAGCCAAGATCGCACCACTGCACTCCAGCCTGGCGCCTGGTCACGGAGAGAGACTCTGTCTCAAACAAACAAACAAACAAAATAATAAATAGTATTCCATTGTGTAT